TATATATATGTGCGTGTGTGTGTATGAGCATATATATACATACTCATATGTATATGCTCAGAGCTAGGCAGATGCTGAGTTGGTCAATTTTTCCCTAGATTACTGAATTTGTGAGTATAAATTGGCATGGGGCTTCTTTATGAGTTTTAATATGATTGACTGCTCAGCCTAGGTAAAGAAACAACAGGTGTATAGTCTTGTGTACTAGGCATAGCATAGATTTTCATTACTTCACGATGTCAATACCAATCACCTTCATAATTTAATGCAGTTTCACTCATCCAAACCCGGCAGTAAGCTCCTTTCTACTTTCCTTCTCTTCCCTCGAAAAGACTGTTTTCTGGTTCCAGGGTTTGTTTGTCCTTCTTAAAGGCCCACATCCTCTTGCCATCCCCTAGCGTACCAGGCTGTGCACAAAGCGAGCTGTCACGAGCCATTTCCCCCCTAAAAATCATTACAGGAACCATCACCCTGGGGAGTCTGCAGGGAACCTCACACCCATAATTATGTTCTATTGAGAACCTGCCCCACACCCAATTAAGCTGTTGATGGGGAGCTATCTGTTAGCGGAACCCGCCTCACATTCCAGCTATCCAGGGAACCAGGTGTGGCAACTTGTGACTTCCTGGCCTACCTGTCCGAACGTAACCTGGCCTACACGACCTGGAACAGGCGGCAAGAGTCCAGTTTCCCTACCCTTCAGGGGCTATATAAGCAGCAACCATGATCCTAATAAACGGAGGCTTTGACAAATCTGCTTGGCCTCCTTCTTCGGTCCTAGCTCATTCCCTTCCAGGTAGCGCCCCTCCGTGACCCTGGAATAACTGATTGCAGGGTGGGTTACAAACCCCTAGACTGAGTAACCCACCCAACGCAATCGACAGCGAGCAATGCACGAGTTAACGGTGATCACTACGAAGGGTATTGAACTTTCCAAATCTATTGTAGTTAAGATTTATATTTAGTTTCTGCTTACGGAGAGATTTAAACACAGAATGGGAGCCGCTTTGATTCCATCCGTGTGTGAAAACAAGCTTCCCAGAGGAACCTGGGCCTGGTTTTGTCCTGTCTTGTTGCTGTCGGTAATCGATTCAGGGATTTTCTTGAAGATTGAATGTTTCAGCTTTGTTATTGCTTCTGTTGAATGTGTTATACACGGATTGTCCAAATTTGAGCATGATGAGGTGAACAGCAATGCATCCTTAATGAATGTAACTCGGACTTTAGGATACAGAATACAGAGCTGGGTGCTCTGTATTTTCTTGAACATCAATGACAATGGTTTGTAGCTATAACAAAAGACAGGAGACGGACTGTAACGGCCTTCATCATGCGATGATCTGAAGCTGTTTGATGAAAAGAATCCTCCTGATGGCTTGTTATCATTTCCATCTTTCATAAAGGAGAAAATAGAGGTGAGGGCAGTGGGATGTGGTTCTGTATTTCATATTGTGCTATCCAGCTTGACACGCAGTAGAGGCAAAGACAATGAGGGAGACACTGAGACACTGCCTCAGTGAGGCACAATGTCCCACTGTTCTCCTTCCTCGGAGGCTCAAGTCAAAGCAGATAGAGGTGCAAACTGTCACCCAGGTCATGACTCAAAGATCTCTGCTTCATTCAACCCCACTGGGGAGTCCTCTGTGCCTCTCAGAACGGTATGTCCACCACAGCGTGGAGAGATAGATACATTGGAAGGTTCCCTGCCATCCTGAATCACTCCTGGCTTCCCCTCAGGCCTCCTGAGTCACCCCTAGTCTGAACACAGCAGGCAGTGAGCCAGGGTGGCAATTTTCCTACCAACCGCCAAGCACGAAGCTGCCAGCTTCGCAGCTTTTGCTTTCCTCTGGGCTAATTGCTCCCAACTCTGGTTCATTCTGCCCAGTGGTACCACTTTTCTGAGCAGGTAAATTGGGTAATTCTACCTCTTTCCTCTGAGTAGGGGAGGGGTCCTTTCTCTGACCTATTGATGTCCAGTTCCTACGGGGCTCCTTCAACTGAGATGATTTGTTGGAATTATGTTCCCATCCTTTACAATATATCCACTGCAATGGGCTGCAATTCCCTTTAGAATTAGAA